AAAAAAAAATACTGCTTTAAAAGTCCTTGCATGCACATTGAAATTATTCTTATATTCATACTTCACATTTGTATGCATTGACATATCTCAAAGCTACTTGGTAAATTCACTGTTTTGGAAGTATACTATATTTGTTTTCATTGTAAAATCACTGAGAGAGTTTATTAAAGTGGTCATTATTTAGATATTGAAAAAGTTCAAGAGTATTTATTATTCAAATGGTAGCTGTTTCCCCATCTAAAGCAGAATTATTTTTACTCCTCCATAACTTGAGACATTTAGAAATAAGAGCCTGCTTCTTGATTACCCACTGACATAGGGTAAGTGACATGTTGCAAAACTGTAAGAGGGAGGGTTTTTTTTAGACTTATTTATTTTTGCATCAAAGAACTGGGGTGTAGGCCAAAGGTGCAGGGGTGAGAGGATTCACCAGAGACAGCATGGGGAGCAGAACAGGCAGATTGAAATATACTACTGAGGGGAGCGGCATGGTGAGACAGGAGAGGTCTGTTGCACATTATGCGGGTCAGCTCCCTGGCTGCGGGATCGAACTGAGGCCATAGCGGTGACAGAACTAAGACTTACCCCACAGGCCACCAAGGAGGCCCTCAGAGATTATGTTTTCTAGGAATTAAAATAAAACACTTCTTTTCTGGAAGCCAAGTGCTCCAGAATAGTGCATTTCTCCACTCCCAGAGTCCCCTACTCAGTCCCAACCTGCTTCAGAACACATCTAGGCCTAAAGAGGCATGGGTAGCCCCAGACCATTCTGGGCTTACCTGGGACAGCCTGCAAACCAGAACTCTGGAAACTTCTCAGGCTGTCACTCTCAGCCAACAGGACTAAAAAGACTGTACTTACCATTAACCCAGTGAAAAATGTGACTACTACTTTCCCCTTTAACACATTTACCCTGCTCTTTTGTGACTAGTATGCCTCTCAGAGGAGCCCTCATCATCACTGTAAATTCACATCAACAACATGCCTTATTTTTAAAGGATAACAAGGAGTCACAGTTGATGTATCCTAAGCTCAGCAGCTCTCCAGGGCTGATTGTGGACCAGCCTGCCAAGTTCTGCCCACACTACATGATTAGTGACAAAATTAGAAACATGCAAGGATGACTATGACACCAGTACAGGACAGGTGTCAGAGCCCCAGATAGAGAAGGCAAGGTGATTTGGGAAGGATAGTGTACCCCATTTCCCATCCCTTGGAGGTACATCACCAATAAAAAAAGAATTCTAGGAGCCCTCACTGATGGCACAACAGGTTATAGCACAGCATTTCAAGCTAGCCACAGCTGCTTCAGTGCAAGTTCAATCCCCAGCCCTGGAGGTGATCCACATGGAGATGCAGACTTCTCCTGACCTGCCCACTGCTCCCCCCAGCAATGTACTTTGTCGATCTGCCTGTTCTGTTCCCCACTCTGTCTCTGGTGAATCCTCTCACTGCCCCTGGACCTCTGGCCTCTACCCCAGTTCTGTATGCATAAATAAATAAATCTTTCAAGAAAAAAAGAAACACCCCAGCAGAACGGCAGTTCCAGCTGGTGTTTCACCCACTGATGTGGTCCTGGCTGTTCAGAAAATCACCTTAGTCATTACGGGTGAAAGGTATGTTAGTGTCTGTCCTCAGGCTTCCCTCTTCAAGTGGAGGATAGTTGAACTAAGTAGGATTCATAAAATCAGAAATCCCTATGGGGCCCTGGGCTAATAATCCCAACATTTCCAGGTGAGCTGACTTAGTTTGAAAAAACTGCTTATCAGAGCCATATTCATTCATTCATTCATTTATTATTATTTATTTTATTGGTTATTAAAAGTATTATGTTTGTTTAGAAAAATATGAGATACAGGAATTTATAAGGAAAGTATTAAAAGTCACCTGTACCCCCTCTTCCAAGCTGTTCTAAACCTTTTGGTTTGGAGTATTTTTCTCTCTATGAATGTAGTTGAGAGTTACTTATGAAAAATAAAATATATATATATATATATTTACTTACTTTCACCTTACTTTCTTAAAATAAAATCCCAGAAGGGAAATAAACAGGAAAAAGTGTTGATACTTTTAAGATTCCTGCCAATGTTCAGACTTTTTAAAAAATTAAATCTTCTTCATTTTAATTTTTTGATTAAATACTTTTTCAAATTAATATTTTAAATTGAGTTAATATTAGGATACCCTTGTCAGGTGTTTCCACTATAATCCATTGTGTGTCCCTGTCCCTTTGTTCTTGCCCTCTGTCCACTTTCCTTCTCTGGATGCTTCAGTTCTATAGTCACTTTTCTAGGGTTGAATTTTAAGCTCTGCAGGGAATAATTATATACTCTGTTTTCATGACCTGTCGAAATACCTATTCAAGTGTGTCATTTCAACAGATGATTTGGTCAATAATGGTAGTGGTATAATCCTGACATTCAATCTGGGAAGTTCTTCTTGATATCTGCTTTAAATCCCTTTAGCTGACTTCACTTCAAACCTGTTCCTCCTTGTCTTGTTCTTTGAAAGAATAAACAGCTGCTTCCTATGGCTCCCCTGACTGGCCTCCAACTGTCAAGATAACCAACTGTCAAGTCTCTCCTTGCCTTCTCAGTGTCCTCTGATGCTGGCAAATGGAGCCCAAGCCATTCACATTTGCTCTAGTTATACATAAACTACAGGACTTCTCACTATGAGAGAACATTGAGAGTTCTCTAGCCTTACTGTCCCTGACAGAAATCCTGTCCCCCCAAAATGTCTCTGTTGAAGCCAGACCAGAGACCAAGATAGAGATTACCTCACTTGCCCACAAGCAACACGCTCCTATTAATACACTGAAGACTCACTGTGGTAGACCAGTGGTGTGCTGATTCATGACTTAATGACTAAGTTGAATTTTCCTTTAGTGTAAATAAGTAAATAGGAAAACTTTATATTATCCATTCCGAAATCTCCTTGGGCTCTTCACAAAGAGAAAACTTACCTTCTATAAGTGGACCCCAGATTTATCATGGGTCTTTGGGGAATAGGAATATGAAGAAGAAAGGAGATTGATTTTAATGAGTATAATTCTAAAATGAGATGATGATGTTCAGTGTCTTCATGCTATAATGTAGGAACTGGCCTTTGACTTTTTATAGAATTTGCCTTTCCAGTCATAAAATAATAAGACTAGTGCATTTATGGTGGCACTCATCATATGACAAGCTGTGTAATAAGCATTTTGCTTGTGTTTATCTATTTAATTGTGTTTATCTATTTAATTCCTCATAGTAACTTTAGAAGGTAGATACTCTGCCCCATCCTTGTAGAAGGAAAAAAATTGAGGGATTGAATGTACACATCAATGGGTCTTAAAAACATGATGTTTTGTTTAAAAAATAAAAAGGTAAGACACAAAATGAGAAATACAATAATTCTTGAAAGATGTGCATATCAAATACATATTTTGTAAGAATACAGGTTAATGGAACATCAAACAACTAGAATGGTTATCTATGAAGAGAACAGGAGAAGGAAATAGAGATAAAAGGCAACAAAAGTGGCTTCACACAAAGCAGAGAGGACTATAAGCCATGAACTGAAATATAGTACCTCAATTCTCTGTACCTGAGCACCACACGAAAACAAAAGGCAACCCCAATCCTTACAACAGAGAGGTAGTAATACAATGCCCCAAGTTAGAGACCTATACTCAAATCCAGATGTCTGGCACCCACCCTCTCTGCAGCATGGCTTAACTAGCATGGGAATCTTCAATTCTTGAGCAAGATATCTGCTACATAGCTAATAGACCACTTTAGGTTTCAGTGTTTTGTCTTCAGTGTTTTGCATGGTTTTGTATTTCAACCTGAGGAAAAAAGGATTCACATGCCAAACATAAATATGAGTTTAAGATCCAGTTAGCCAACCACTATTATTTATCAGATTTTTATTGAGTGTTATCATGTGTCAGTCACTGGACCAAGTAGAGGGCAAAGATGAAAGAGTCAGAGTTCTTGCTTCCCTAGCTCCCAGCTATTGAACAATTCTCTGACTATAGTCAGGTAGGCTCCTCTCTTCCTGCTGGCCTTTTTGCAGCACACTGTTATACAGCCAAACTTGATTCTAGCACTAACTAGCATTTCTTAAGACCTGCTGGATTTCCTCAAAGGAATGAGGCTATCATTTTCGTTACTGGAAACTGATTTTTCTTGTATCTTGTCTTTCAGAATGAAAAGAAAATGATCAAGAAAGAACAGATGTAACAGCAACTCCAGCAAATGGGGTGAATCTGCCTCCCTGACTCATGTGGTAACATTTCTTTCTATGCCAGAAGGTGAATATTTTAGAAACATTTGAAGATGGAAGTCATTCTATAAGAAAGATAGAGAGGTTGGATTGGTAACAAGGGAAATTCAAAGCCCATTTGGACTTCCTTTGACATACCTCAATCGTTTTACAGGTATCTTCCAGCTGGGTGATCACTCCCTGGACTCGGTCGTTGCTCCCCACGAGGACAGCAATGCCGTCACTGAGTTCAGACTAATGAAGACAAAGGATACATGCTCTTATGAGCTTTCTAGTCTGCAGTGAATGTGGATTAATTGTGGTATTGTCCTCATGGATACTTCATCTAAGGTCCATCAAACTCCTAAAGACTAAAGGTGAGGCTTGGGATCTTCTGATCTTATAAATTAATTTCTGTATGAATACAAGCTTAAATGCATTTGTCTGGGAAGAGTCTCATAATTTTCATTAAATTCTTTTTGAATTAAATTTATTTATTTATATGTATTTTATATCACTGTTCATTTTTTAAATAATGTTTACCTCCCACCCCTCAGGTATAGTTCCCTTAGAATTTCCTCCCCAAATTCACGTATGTACCATCACCACAGTCCCCTGTGTTCCTCCCTCCCTTCTTCTGACCCCTCTCCCTCCTCCTCTCCTGCAGGATGTGTCTGGTTCATAACTGTCTAGTTTGTTTTGTATCATTAACTATTTTTCCCCTAATGGCTTATTTGGTTCCCCTTTATTCTTCCTGTAAGTGAGACCAGCCAATATTTTACTTTTTTTCCTCCTGACCTATTTCACTGAGCATAATTCCTTCTAGATCCATCCATGTTGCTGTGAAAGGAGTTTATCTTTTTGATTGCTGAGTAGTATTCCATTATGTACACATTAAGAACATTGAATTATTGGCTATAAAGAACAGGGTAAAGAAAGCATGTTTATAAATCAAATGGTGTCTAATATGTGATTTCATGGACCCAAAATGAGTTATTTTCCTAGTATAGCTCATGGTTTGTTTTACTAGGAAAATGTGTATAGTAAATATGTATTTACTTATTCAACATGTTATACAGTTTTGATGTGATAGATACACAAATACATATTAGACTAAATCATTGAAAATTTGAAGCTATCAGTTGGTTTGTTCCAAGGGAAAAATTTCAGCTGATCCAAATAGAGCTCATTGTTTGTATTTACCCCTTCCCCAGGCTGACCCACAGAGCATCTGGCAGCACAGAATGAGACTTAGGTGTCTTACATTGCTTGTTCAAATTTTGTCTTTAACTTCTCTCTGAGTTTCAAAACAACATGAAATAAATTGAGACCTTACTTTTTCACATAAAGTAAGATGACTGGATTAAACTAGTGGTTGTAAACACTTTCTTCTAATGAAAGCAAATATGGAATCCCAACAGGTAAAAGGTCAAACAGGAGTGGGATGAAAGCCCTGCCAGTCTGTCCTTCTGTCCATCCTACAGGACTCTCCATAACCCTGAAGGTATGTGTGAAACATGTACTAATCAGTTCTCACACACTGCATTATTGAGGTGTGGAAGGAAAATGTGAAATAAATCACAAGTACATTTAAAAAATGAATGCAGCTTTCTTACTAAATCCTTATTTAGTCATTAGAAATCACTGGTTGTTGACCAAAAGTTTGGCTTCCAAGTTTGATTCCAACTCTGACTATTGCGTGTTCAAAAACTGATCAAACATGGAAACTATGATTCTTGCAGAAAGAAACTGAAATGTGGAGCTGCTCAAATTCTAGGTGCCTGGAAGGGCTGCATCTGAACTCTGCATTTATCCTCATCAAATGAAAAAGTTCCCAATTGTGGGGTGATACCAGACTAACAGGGTAGTGATAAGCTGGGACACTTGGTATTTGTTAAAATGAAGGGGCTGAGGCTGAGGCCCTAGGGTGAGGGGCAGGTGCACTCTCAGAAAAGGCCTAGGTTGAAAGGCTAGGAGCCTGGTTTAACCCAGCCTTCAGGGAGAAGCACAAGTAATGACTTATAACTCTCACCTGCTAGAAGGGCAGTCATCTACAATGAGGGGTAGACAAAGCCAAGGGAGGAATGGGGTGTGGGCAATAGGGAACTTTCACTGGCAAAGTATACTGTGACTGAAATAAAAGAGTTGCCCTTTTCTTATCTGTAGTCTGAATTTCAAGTAATATTTGAGCTCAGATCATGTCCCTGAACACTGATCCCCTTTAGCAATCTCTAAAGAGTGCTAAAACAGTGTCTCTTCCCTTCTGCACCCCTTTCTGACCCTTAGCATCCCTCCCCTGCCCTCTTCCAGGGAAGCTGCATGAGGCCAGCTATGAGCCCACCTCCAGCATCCCTTCCATGTCCAGCTTCTGGGCCGTTGGCCCTACATGCTTATCTAGTTCTCCTTGGATGGAGTTCACCCATCCTACCAATGCATACAAACGAGTGAGGAGGAGGAGCCAGAGGGGAGCTTACCTTCTGTCTCTGAAACACATGAGTGAGGGGAGCCACCTGGCAATCCTTGTGTGCCCCAAAGACCTTGCACAGAGAGCAGGTGGGCACTTCACAGTTCAGACAGTAAATATTGATTCGCTCCTCTTCATGCTCCTCACACATAGGCTGGTCTGACTTCTTTTCTGGCCTGGGAAGAGGTAGGCAGATAAATGTGTTCAGTTCCCAGTGGGTACAGCAGAAGAACAGAGAGGGATGATCAGCATTGCAAACCCTCGCTACCCAGTGTCCTCCCAGCAACCCTACTCCAGTAGACTCCCAAAGTCCTTTTCATGTGCTCAGAGCTCTCCATATTTAGATTCTCGGGTTTAGCAGGGAGTTGTTTCCCAGTCTCCAACAATCAGCCTAGGGTGGGGCTGGGATGTGGAGACTCTGATCTGTAGTATTTGCCCATTTCTGTGGTGTGAATATTCCTAACACAACCAGTTTCAAATTATGGAAATTTTAAAATTCAGCTAGTGCAATTCCAGAAAGTTGAACCCTAATTCTTGTAGTAGGAATGTGCTTAGCTCTGTCTCCACATGCCCACAAATTTATCAAGAGACACTTTTCCAGTTAAAATGGAAGCTAGTCAAAGATAAAGGAAGGAAAGCTGATGATAAACTAAATCTAAAGTTTTCAACAGCATTAAGAAGGCACCAGATCCCACCCCCAGCAAACACCCTTCCCAACAAACAGAATAAAGATGAGGTAGGACTGAGTGAGCCCAAATCTGTTACTTACCTAGACACCTGCTGAAAGTAGCTCTGTGTAAGACAGAAAATATCAGCATATGTTTTATTAACTCCTTTGGGTGTCCTGCTACCATTAATGCAGAAAATCCAATGTAATAACTTCCTGAAAACTTAACTATGATTAAGAATTGGCAGTGTAGGCTCAATGAGTATGAACAGTGTGAATAATTAATTACTTTACCCAATAAGAAAAATGTAGAGTGTTGTTCTCAGCCAGGGTGGTAGCTGGGAGGTGTGAGTCTCACAAATAATGTGAAAGTTTCTGTTTTCCCAACAGGTCAGCACCAACCAAAACCTTTCAGAATTGCAGCAGGTAAAAATAAATGGACTATTGGATTTGTACGTGTTAGTGAGACAAGATCAAACAATGAAGGATCCAAAGCATAAGGGAGAGAGTGACAAGATATTGCTAGTAAGGCTTAATCTGTTAACCATGTAATCACCCAGAGAACCCCCAAGTTTACAACCCATGCTATATTCCCATAACCATTAACATAGCTTTGGGGTTAGGATCAAATCAAAATTATGCCAAATTGTGGTACCTCAGACTACCATGGAGAGCATAGTGGGAAGTGTGAATGTATCCCACTTAAACAAAACCATGGAATTTGTTTAGCTTATGCCTGAAGACTGAGGCTCTTAACAATTTTCAGAAGTATTTGAAAATTTAAATCACAGCCTAAATCTTTCCTCTTGTTCTCAAACATATGGTTATTTAGGTTATCCCAGATTTGGGACTATACATTTTCAGGATCCACTAAAAGCTGCAGGATTTTATGAACCATGAAAACTATACATACATACATATGTATACATATATATGCACACGTACATATCCATTCTTCCATGTTTGAAAACCATTACTATTGATGTGCGGTATCATTTTGCTGCAGCCACCAGAACTGCAGAGAGAGAGAAACAGAGAATGTGCTGTTTTAGCTCTCTAAGTCACTAGGTGGAACTCAAGTGGCTGGGCTAACTGTTGAGAAAATCCTTGAACCTGGTGAGGAAATGGTATGGACCCAGCTGCAAGATTTTGGTATCTGACTTCTGCAGAAGTAATTTCTACCTGGTCTATGATTTCCATAAAGTTTATGTTCCCCTAACTTGACTTCTGCCATATGCTTGGAAAGTAAAGTCCTCAGCTGAGAAAATTATCCCTCCTCCCATGTCTGTCCGTTTCTTCCCTAGAAGGAAGCTTTGGGAAGTCAGGGGCCATTCCCTGTCTTCATTTTAACTGTCTCTTCAGTGTTCAGGACAATGTCTTGCCCAGAGTGGGTGCTCAGAAAATGTGTGTTGAATAATAAGTGAGAAATAAAAGAGATTTGCCAGATTAAGGAAGAGTATTCCCTGTATTCTAACAGAAAACCACTCATCTAAAGGAGGCATGTGAACTATGGGGAAAGCCTCAGGTTACTTGGCACCCAAGAGTGGAAAGGAGGAGACTAGTCAATAACCTGAGGATTCCATTTAGCACTAACAAAGCCCTCTGGAGCTTATCTAGTAATTAGAAATGGTGATTTGGTCTTTGATCAAGAACTTCTCCATCTCTGAATTATTCCTTACCAGACATCTTCACCTTGCAATAAATGTTAAGCAGGAGTCTGGAGCACATTTATTGGAAAATGGCCCCCAGTGGCACTACTGTAGTGCCTCTGCCTAGGCACTTCCTGAGGGTAGCCTGCATTCTGGTGCCATACTGGTGTCAAAACTCTGAACACAGGCCCTGGTATAGAGCTTAGGCAGGCAGTGTGTGTGAACTGTGGCAGCATGGAAACAGCCATAAGTCTCTTGCTTTGTTTTTGACTCATTATATTATTTATGTTTTCATAATGCAATGTAGACTGAGAACTACCTCCCAGATTTCTTCTTAGCTGTTTCTTGTTCAGGTGGCAACACAGGTCTAGAGGTCTGTGCTGTTTATAAGTTTGTAAGTGTTACCCACACTTATAAATGGATATAAGTTGAATAAAACCTTTAGACAAGTTAAAACCTAACAGACCAGGGACCAACATGGCGTGAAGAATCAAGATGTACATCCATTTTTGTGAGGCGAAGTGGTTAACCTCTCAGGTAAGGTTCAGGGCTGTGTCAAATGCTGGCTACAGCCCTCAAGCCATTCAGGGAAGGTTGGGCCCAAGGAACCTATGACCGTGCTCTCTGGCCTCTCAAGTTGCTGGGGTTATCCTAGCGTTTCCTGAATGGCAGTTGATCTTGGTGGGGCATCTTGTCATTACTTTTAGAATCAAACTCTTTTAAAGCTTGACTCTAGCTGGGCTTCTCTGCACTGTGACTTACGTAAGCTCACTTCTTTTGGACTCAGCACTTAGTCAAAATTTGGACTGAGTCTCAAGTTTAATGACTTAAGTTTAACAACAGCATAAGAATTTGATGATCAGAAAAACACTACTAGGTCACTCAGCTATGAACTTCAAAGCTGGATATTTGGCTTACTGCCTTTATGCCATTTGCTCACTTGGGCAGATGCACCATACAGACTTTATAAAGTCAGGTGTGTCTTGTAGTTTGATCAGCACTATAAATTCTAGCATTTCCTCTTTCTGGAATTCATAGCAGTTATTATTTCGTATGTTTCAAGCTCTGTCTGTGGCAAGTAGGAAAACTGAAAATTATTGCAAGAAGTAGAGCAAAAACAATTTGTTTATTCAGCTGACATGTGGGCAACTATTGTGTGTAAGGTCCTGTATGAGGCACTGAATCAGTTTTTATATAAACACCCTTAATAACCGGTCAGTTATTAGTTGGCTGTTTTTTTTTTTTTGGAGTCAATGTGTTATTTGCATTTTAATATAATGTGACACAATGAGCGCAGCTTTGTGAAGCAATAGCAACATTAGTGCTTTCCTGCTCAAAGAAGGAAAACAAGGAAAATTGCCACCTCCATATGTCTGTCATATACCTTCAGCAAGGTTTCTTCTTCCCCATTTCTATCTAATTTAGTTTTGAATCTTAGGCAAAAAAAAAAAAAAAAAAACCTAATAGCCATAATGATTATAATGACTGTGTTAGATTTGTAGAAAGCTTTCCTTCTAAGAATGGAAGACTTAGAGCCCTATAGATATTCCATAACTACATGTCTCCTAGTCTAGTGAGCATCACAATGAGTTTGGTCTAGTTTGGTCTCCGTAATTCAGTCAAGCATTGTGGACCATACTGATCTGCACACAATTGAAAAATGCTTGTTCACACCATGCCTTCTAGGAATCAACTCCCCTAGAGTTTCAGGAAAGCAACTCCATAAGCCAATGTGATTTGAAGAGTAAGAAGCCTTTTTCTTTTAATGAATGGATGTTTATAATAACAGGTGGAAGGAACAATCAATCAAGAGGCGAATGCTAAGGTATAGTAAACATAATCTAGGGAACAAAACCTGGCCACTACCCTTTTTCTCTCCTATGTCTCTAAACTTTAAGTTGCTAATGGCTAAGATGAGACCTTGTTTTGCAACTCCCCAGAGTTAATATCACAACTAATTACATTAGAGGATTTTAAAGGTTTTTTTGTTATCACCATTCAGCTCATTTTAAGATAAGACTGTCTGAACTAGATTGTGGGAAATGCCAGTCTTATTAATTTTTCTGTAAAGCCTCATACTATAATTTTCTAGCTCTGCAGAATATGAAATTACAAAGGATCTGTACAGAAATATCTAAAGCACACCTAATACAATTCCTAAAGGAGTATTCCTCTTCCAACATCATCTGAAATAGTGACTATGAGTTACTTCATTCTTAAATTACTACTAATAATTTTTTTTAAAAAACAGGGACACTAAATTCCCTCTCTCCTCCCATGAGTATTCTTAGTCCTACTGGGAAGGACTGAATGGGAAAAACATTTTCTATGTAACAATTTGTTCATGACTTATAAATAAGCATTCCATATATCAATCCATTAGGACAGAATAAAACAGCTTCCAATGAGTTTGACACATGAAAACCAGTACCTGGTGGACTCCTGCTTGTATATGTCAATGATATTTTCCACCAGCAGGTTTCTCTGAAGTCCATATATTCCGTGTCTGTCCAAAACCACTTCATGTCTACAGGAAGGACAGCGAAATCGGCCTCCTGATGCCACTGTGGTGCCGCCTCTTGTGGGCAAATACGGGTTAGAGGCCTGTTCTTGCCAAGTAAGAGAAGAGAAATTGAAAAATGCCTCACGTAGCTTTTCTGAAACCTCACTTCACTCTCACATAGTACAAATAATATCAATTTCTAGGCTAAGCTGACCATAAAATAATCCATTCAGGCTTTATCAGCAAGTGTCCAAAACCACAGGCCCGCACTTCATCTGCAGTCAACTGCCTCATACCAGTGTCAGCAGGAGGCACTTCTCCAACCTGGCGTTTCATAACCAAAAGTTCCAGCCAGAAACTCCAACGTTAATGTCTTGGGCAGTGATTCATTTACAATTTTGAAAGGGATTCAGTGTTTGTTTAAATAAATGTGATTCCTAATATTGGAAGACAACTAGATTTAGGAGTAAGGAGGATGACAGCAAAATACAAAGCAAATCATTAAAACTTTTTTGTTTTTCTTGATAATGAAGGCAGTCTTTAAAAGTTATGTAAAATAATTTACCTCTAAGTTAAGAAATTGATCCAGAGAGGAGGGAATCTTTTCCACCCCCTAATTTCCAAACAAACCTACCTGGAAAATATCACTGGCACATTTCCTACACAGGTTATGCTGACAAGGGAGAATAACCACGGGTTTCGTGAACATCTCTAAGCAGATGGGACAGATGAGTTGCTTCTCCAAGTTATCCATGGTCTGCTGCTCTTTGGAAAAAGACTTGTAATTCAAGGATGCGCTCATCTCCTGGCCGTCCCTGTGTGCGTTGCCAGGGAAAGGGTCCTCGAATGGTTTCTGCAAGTGTTTCCTGGAAATAATTCCAAGGATTGTGTGATCAAGTGTCCTTTATGTTTCTGTCGGTGGAGGACATTGTTTCAGACCAGGTTCCGAGCGGGTGCCAGGGCTGTTTTTAGCAGCAGGAGTCACGTGACAGCTGGCTGATTTGTCCATATAAGCTCGTGACAGGAGGATGGATTCCGACAGGTGACAGAGAACAGGAGCCAACATTCCTGCCCCAGAGAGTGAAGACAGTGGGTGGGAAGGGGGATTATAAATCCCATTTAGACTGGGTTGTGAGGAGGCGGTCAAAGCTCACAGTTGTCAACAACAAATGCAAATGTGCGCGCCTAGACTCTGAGCCCTGCCCCCTGTGAACACTCTGGAAGAACATGCCGATGGGTTTCTCCAGTACTGGGGAGTATTTGGCCTGAGTCCCACTGTATAATGGATGTCATTTCTATCTTGAGATTTTAAGAAATGTGTCACCAAAGGGAGCATGAACATAGATGAAAACAAACAAAACAGGGCTTGAAAAATCATTATCCTGGCTTGCTTGACATGAAGTGTTTCATTTTGCCCCTGGTATGTTTTGCCCCGGGTATGGTAACTTAAAAACTTATTTCAAATCTTTTCACCATAGAAGTGTATATAAACACACATCCAAATGCCAGTTGATGACCCAGTTACATTTTTTAAGTTGTGTAATACAACCCCAATGTACTCTTTTCTCTTTCACCTTGATTTCCCCTCCTCTGTGACCTTCTTTCATTCTGTACTCCATGACCACTTTTATACATACCCTGAAACACAATTTGATTATCTTTTAAAGTTTGAATTTAGCTTCCAACAGTAATCAGGGATGACTTGAAACTGGCATGTGGGAAGGCATGTACATTGCTTCATTTTGCCATAGAGCAAGGGGCAGATATCAGTGGTATTGCCAACTGGAGTGAAAATGGAGTCCTCCTTCCATACTTGTGTTTCATCTGCTCTAAAATACCCACACCACTCCATGATGATTTTTTAAATGATTGTTTTCCTGGCCATTTCTAATGTGTTTGGTTTGCTATTGAGTCATAGATATTAATGATGGGATTTTGGAAACAAATGTTTTATCAATATATAGTACTTAAAAATTTTAATCAGATAAAAATGAAAAATACATGTCTGATTTTTGTGATGAATTTGCAGCTTCATTTCTCTTTAATTAAAAAAAATCTTAAACAATGAACACTTTGTGGCTGTTGCTGGTGTGCCCTTAATGACCAACAAAGAGTAGGTCAGTGTGACTGGTCAAGTGCAGTGTTATGTGCTATATGCCCTGATATATTGAAAATCTAGTAAATTCCATTAACTAATACTAAGGTATATGTATTCAGAAACATTTCCGGGATCTTTGGAGAGTTTTAAAATCCTTTCATTATCTATTTAGCAATTGCTATGAAGAAAGGATTGGTGAATTTTTTTTTAGTGAGTTCATTCAGTTCACCTAGTTATGGAAATATGCATGTTTGAGAGCAATATGTGATTTATTTTCTAAGAAAGAACATTTCTACCATAAAAGATCTTGCAACTAAAGGAAAGTTCTTAAATAATTAATATCTATTGTAGCCCAGTTTATTCTTATAAGAGGAATTCATTCTTCCAAAATACATTACTGAGTGCTTCTTAAGTGTCTCCAGTATGCTTCTGAGGATTGAAAGACAAACAAGACAGGGGTCATTGTCCTCAAGGTGCTCAGTCAAATGGGAAAGATAAGATATGCACATATAGAACCACAATACAAAGCAAAATGCTTCAGAATTTCAAGTAAAAAAAAAAAAGCAAAGAGTTTCAGAATTTGAGAATGAATCAGGAGAACTTCATGGGTGGGGTAGCATTTGAATTGCTCCACTGAGAAATGTAGACAGATGGACCGGTTAATTGGCATTTAGGTGGGACTGCCCAAGAAAAGGCTTGGGAGCAAATGCTGTGAGGCGCAGGCTTACAGGGAGTGCTCAGAGCTAGGGTGTTTGGGGCTGGATTGCAGAGCAGGCACTGGGATCCAGAGTTTTTAACACATAATAAATTAGGCAACAGGAAGTCAATAAAAGTTCCTCACAGGGACTTTTCATCGAGAGCTGTGCGTTGATTAATTAGTGTCCTCGTATGGTTGGGCTAGATTAAAGTGAAAGACAGCTGGTTAAGAACCAGATGGAGAGTTGCTGCTAAGAGCCTAGGTGAGAGGTCGTGATGCCTGGGCACAGGGCAGGCAGCAGGGAAAAAAAGGAGGAAATGGACTCTGGGGTGGTTAAGTCTATGAAATTAGAATCCACACAGGGGACTCTGACGCTCTGAGTCTGAGGACCCGCTGGTGACATGGCAAGAGATTATCTAGTGGGTCAGGACTGGCCTGCTGGTTTTGATGTCCACTTCATGTCTTGGCCTTGGGACCTGAGCTCACCTAGCTGGACTTCAGTTCTTTTATCTACAAGTGAGTGGTATTCACAACTTATTTTATCTGTATTGATAGAGGAAAAATTCCCAGACCTCTCAAAGAGTATCAACTTGGCATTGAATATGCCCAGTTTGATTATTTGGTATTTTTCTCTATTCCTTCTTGCTCTCTGCATTCTCCCCCCCCCCCCTTAGAATGCACCCTGAAGGCTACAGAGGAGACCAGGAGAAGTCAACATTAAGCCAAGTTGATGGATAATAGCTATTTTCCCCTCCTCACCCTCTTTTCCCCATTCCTTGTTCCTACTTCAAAGACCAGCAATCTACAGGTAGAATATGTGACCAAGAGTGGGGTGTGAGAATAGCACTCAACTCTAGGGGGAACCAGAAAATTTTAATTCACTCCCAAATCATTCACATAATCTAAGAGAGGGAAAAATCTAGAGCTGAGGCAGTGTTGAGGTCAACTTCAAGGTCCTAGGATTTGGGACAGACTTGATACTGAACGCTGGCCTCAATTTCCCTCAGCTGATAAAAGGAAACTAGAGTTTGAGGAGAAGGGAAGTAGTTTAACTTGTGCACAAACTGAGGAGGGCAGGAGACTCTGAAAGACCTTCGTCCTCCTCTTTGGTAGAGTGCAGGGTATTTTCACAAAGAAGTAGAAAAAGGGAGATGGGCAAAGGTCTGCTAAGGGGAGATAGAAAGAGTTGGCATGTCGTTTTGATGTAGAGATTTGGAGATTGCTGGAGGGTGCCAGCATGCCTTGCTAACACCTGTTACAACTTCCTTATCTTAGGGATATCCTACCTTTCCTTAAAATGCAAGAAGACAGACTTGTCTAATGCAAGAGATGTTTCACTGCATCAGACCTGGGCTCCACAGAGACTTGAAAGCCACCCAACCTCCTGCAGGTATCTTGGATATAAAGGTGTGGTGCAACACTTCCTCCCTTTCTCCTTGCCCCTCCACACTCTAGTCAAGGGGTGGAAATCAATACTGGGTGGGGGAGGGGCAATTAAAGCTGCCTTAGTTGGAAATCCCCATTGAACCGCATTCCTGAATCTCACCAAACTGGGGCAAGTACATGTTTAGATACATTAAGAAGTTACAGCAAAACCACCATTGCTTTCACCTTTTCTGGCTGCTTCCTAAGCTCCTCTCATCACTCCCACCCCCCAACAACTCCCCACCCCTAAAGGTAAGTCAGAGAAAGCGAGTACTTAGAATATCCTTAGAACATCAGTATAAGCCCCACACTGGACTGGAACATTAGTGCATGGGACTTTCAGGTCAACTCTGGCAACAATAAAGAAACTCTTGACTTTTTTCAATTTCTAGCTGCCAGGTCAAATGGACCCAGACTTCAGCGGTTAGGACATAGGTGTAAAAGCTGGATCTCAGTGTGTTCGTCTCAGGAAGGAAGAAAAAGGAGTTCTAAAGTGTTATTTTTAGTGCTATACCTCCACAACAAACATCATAATTATGTACTGAGTACCAACTACTTGTTATATAACTCTATGATAAATATTACTATATCCATTGAGCCAACTGTGGCAGAGTGACATTAGTTTCTCAGAGTCATAGGGCTGCTAGCTGTGAAAAAGACCCAGAGACACATCTTTTGACTATAGGGCCTGACTGCTTTATCCACTAAGCTGCATTTCACCCATGCTCTGGAGCACAGTCTCCATTAGAATTTTCTGCAATGTTGCAAATGTGTACTTTACAACCTCTAACCACATGTATTACAGTTATTAATGGTTGAAAAGTGTATAGCTTGACTCAGTTCTGGATATCAATTTTATTTAACTCAACTTATGCCACATGTAGCCAGATGTTATACTATTGGACACTCAGTCCCAGAACTTGAGATATAAAAATCCTGGAATGTATCTGGAGGATACTCCAACAGGAGTGGGAGCCACCGCCCCCCTTTTTTTGTTAGTAGTATACTTTCTGGTTAGGATAATGTGAACCCTTTTCAACCACACAATAGTTAGAAAAGGAAAAATTCATCTTTATTACACTTGCAAAATAAGATAGAGTGTTCTGGGGGGAGGGGAAGGGAAAAGTCCAAGGGAAATAATACTCCCTCCATTATTGACAACACTCTATGTGACCAGGGGTGGTGGTGGTGGGGAGAAGCTAGCACTTCTCTCAGGATTTAAATGAGCTGGTACTACAAGTCAAAGACACTGTTGATTAGCCCTGCCATCTAGAATCCATCTGATCACAGGAAATATATGTGGAGTATATTGTTATTTCCCTGGTATCCTAGAAGTCAGGATGTGTTCCAAACAAAACAAAACAAAAACCCAAAACCAATTCTTATTTGTCTTAAGAATTGACCTCATAGAATTACTTTAAAAGTTACTTTGTGATGCCTTTTGCAGCAACATGGATGGAGCTGGAAAAGATCATGCTTAGTGAAATAAGCCAGAAAGAAAAGGAAAAATACCAGATGGTTTCACTCATAGCAGGAGTATAAAGAACCAGGTGAGAAAATAATAATGAACAACTATATACCAGAGACATTTTATGGGATCAAGAATGGTGGGAGGTGGGTGGGGGAGAGCACTGGACTATGGTGATGGCACATGGGTGATTTGGTAATGGGAAGCCGATGGGGATTACAACTGAGATGGAAAAAGTCACAAAATGATGTAAAAATAAACTATCATTATATATATATATATATATATATATATATATATAAAACGTTACCTTGTGGTATTTTCCTCAGTCACACTGTCAAAACTTTGCAATTTAGTTGTCTTGTACCTTGCATACAGTGATTTAAAATATTTTAATGAGAAGAAATAACTTACAAAATCTAAAATCAAAGAGAAGTAAACTAACTTAAAAAGTACTTAACAGATGCTAACACGGTAGCATT